TGTTTTCAGATTGTTAAATTGTAACAATATGTATAAAAATACAGATGTGAATTTAGTTGCATCTGATAAAGACAAAATTATGTTCTATTAAAATGGTGATGTGGAAAGAAAATTAAGCATGATTTGAACATGAAAATTTCATATGAAGTAAAATTACACAAGAATCTACGACGATTTAATGATGTGCAAAATTTATATGAGTAGCAATCCAGGTTATCGGTGATCCTAACGGACACATAACGTTACCGAGCGCATACTGGTTACAGACTATATCATTATCCCTACTATTACAAACATTTTATAATATTCATTTTTCTCCCTTTCAGCGGTATTTAATCACTGATATCAACATTATATTTTAGTGTATTGAATCCAAACGCCATCCAACCCATCATATTAGGGCTGTAGAGAATCTTAATTTTATATTGTTGAACAAAATTCATTCTCAATACAAAATGCCAATCCCATATGTCTACGCCATTTATGAAATTCGAAACGAAAATGTAATCATTTGCATCGTACTGTCGGTTGGGCATTCCGCTCTTCAAGATAAAGAACTATCCGGAATATCTAAATATAGACCGGATACTGAGCTCAGAAAAATTAATTCCAGAGACTGTTTTGTAATTAATTTTTAAATATCCAACAGACGTTATAAAAGGCATGTCATGCAATTTTAGAACTGCAATTGCATGATCACAACTACTTTTTTGTCAATTGGCGCTGCAGCCTTTCATTTATTTCTAAATCGCACTATAAAAAGAACGATTGGTCTTCCCAGTCACAACTCACGGCATGAACAAGATTAAATAAACGTTGTAATTATTAAAATGTTTATGTTGAGATGGAAATAAGTACTCGAGAAGGATGGACGGTTAGGACCTATATCAATATCTGGCGGATACAGAGATCTATACCAGTAGCTCAGCAGTCCAATGTTTCTGTGATAATTTCTCTCAAACCCTTCTTAGGGTTGTAACTGTGCGCTTGCGTTGACTGTACAAATGACACAATATATCTTGTAATTTGGCATTGGTTTTGCCAATATTATGCTTTCATTTTTAGCCCAAAAGTACATAATAACAGTTTTGCCATCACTAATTGGAATTCTAATATGATAGTTTCCTTTTATAGAAAGAAATAAACTTATTTTACGAGAAAAAGTTGAAGTCTATTATGCAAAGTCCTTCAATAGCACGATTTGCAGCTCTGTCAAATCACCTACATTGTATTAAGGCTTATAGTCGACATAGTGATGGTAACAGAAATACGTTGAATTTAATGAAGATATTGGTCAACATAGCTGGGGGTTTTTTCCACATGAGGGAAAGGAACAAATATAATACGGCCATCACTCCTATCTGCCAGTATGGTGATTATACACTTGGACGTGTAGACTGGTTTCACGAAGGATTGAAGCAATATAAGACCGCTCCGGTGGCCTAAGGGTTACTCCCTGTGCACTGTCGCCAAACTACAGACAACCAGATCATAACGCTCATATTCTATAGAATAACAGTTATATTTAAATCAATACCAAGAATTCCAAAATTAAATTATTGCATCAACATAAAAATGAGAGAGAAAAAAAAAGACCTTCAAATAGACTTGGACAAAATTAGTGGGAACTGAACCAGAAGTAACAATTGTGGAGTCCAAATACAAACTAGTCTGATACCAAAACTTAATCATTTGATGTTATTTTACATATCTTCATTTTACATAAGCATCACATACAACAGGAATAATCCGTCATTTCATATGTTTAAAATAGAAGTGTTTCGAATTTCGCAACCGGTTATCAGCCACTTTGGCATTTCATTTAGTGTAGCTCATTTACAACAAATGCGTAAGTACTAGACAATATGTACTAGTTTGCAAACGAATCCGTTGTCTTTGGAATTTTCCATCAAGCTGAGTTAGAAACCGCTGATGTAATTTCCCGCCTATGAGACCTGCATTTAAACACATTATAGCCATTTTGTCTATTTCTGAGAGACTCAAACTTACCGCAAATGCATGTTGGCCCAGCGATTGACAGAAAAATCGTATATTTTATATGCCGAAAATTTCTTCGCAAAATGGAGACTGAAATCTCTTTTTTTTCTGACCACCGGACTATTTATCCGATTTTATTGAAAGTAAAGTTGCGAATCATTTCAATGCATTTGCAACGTTTGGTCAATACTTATTTTGTCACTAACCAAAGTGATCCGAATGGTAACTATCTACATAAATTCAAGATACTATTAGTTTGATTAGTATTGGCTTCTGGTAGATGAAACTTTTTCGATCCCTGATTGGTATTCTTGGTTGGCACTAAGAGTAAAACTTTAAAAAGATCAGGTTAATTGTTGATTATTTGGTTGATAGAAACTCGAAATAAAAGTTAAACACTGAAGAGCCACATGGCGCATTTTTATTTTATGGTGTTAATATTGATGTAGAACATCGAGTTCCTCTTCACCACGTTGTTTCACAGGCATGTTTAATGATTCGAGTTTTCAGTCAAAATACTGCTTTACAAAGGGAATGGAATGGAAATTTTTGCTGTCGGTAGTAATTGTCTTATTTGTCCTCTTATGCGAGAAACGTATTATAATTGATGTGAAGTTAATAAAGAACGCTACAGTCTGAATTAAACTGTAAGCACTCGACTATTCTAAGCAACATTTAATTTGTTAAAAATGAAAATTATCTGGACAATACCCTGCATATTATCGAACTGCATATTTCCAGAATTAAGATGCTTTTGAGGGTATATCTTGAATTTCATCGAACTTCATACTTCCAGATTTAAAACGCTTATAAAGATTCATATTTCATATTTCCAGATTCAAGAAGTTTTCAATGGGTTTCTTTGAATTACATATTTCCAGGTTTCAGACGCTTTAAAGGATTTGCCTTGTACTTAATATCTCCAGATTTAAGCCGATTGAAAGAATTTGCCTTGAATCTCATCTAACTATATTTAAGATTTCTTTGAAAGTTTGCCTTGAATCTCGTTTTTCCCGGTACCAGACGCTCATGACGGTTTATCTTTCAAAAGAAATAATTAAAACACTAGACATATCTACGAGTTTACACGAAGACCAGCTTTGGAAGGCGTCGATCAAACTTAAGTGCCCACATTTTCCATTAAATCAGTGAATGAAGGCTGGAGAGAGTTTCCACTAAAAGTTTTAAAGGTTTCCATTAATCCCACGTTTATCTGAAAATTCAAATTCGCTAGATGTCAATTTAATTTGAAAATGCAGAAACAAGGCGATTGGCGATTTGCGGCCTATAAAATAAGTAAAACATCGATTGTTCATCTTTCAATCGTTCAGTAAATATGTTATAATGTATCAAGGGAATGTCATAGCATTTATATAAATCAGTGCGTTCTATCAAATTCAATTAATTGCTTATCATAGATGCATTCTCTAAACGAGTTAAAGAAACAGCTGAATATCATCAAAAACAATAAGCGCGAGTATTATAATCGAATGTCGCCAATTTCAGTCAGCATTTTCTTTCGATATCACGCTAGTTAAATGTACATGTAGGGTGAAGAGAAGATTTATATATATATATATATATATATATATATATATATATATATATATATATATATATATATATATATATATATATATATATATATATATAAGTTGCAATACCATGACAAGACAAACCTCTAGCACGCAGAAATTTTAAGTGAATTTTATAACATATATTTTTGTACATCTTCGGAATGGGAGGAAATACGGCTGAACCTAGCATAGAGGACCAGATTCGCAGAAATTTTACTTATTTATGCAGACTTTTTATGTGAACACAATTAACCTGAAGCGGAGAAAAGCATACATAGAAAAGAATGACGTTAACGGAGAAAAGATAAGAAGACGTGATACATTTCAGAGACATAACTGGGCGAGAATGAAAGTAAAGGTGCTATTGTTAAAAATATAAGAAGTATGTAATGGCGCTAGTGGACAAGTCCATTTTCAGCAAATGCTTGTATGCAAAACTAAAGATGTACATACATATATCGTCTGCATCGGATATTTACAGTGTCGAACCAAGCAAAGGAAAAGAATGACAAAAAAATAAATTGGTTTTAATCAGCGGTTTCAGTAATATGTTCACGTGTGCAAATGAATATAATTCCAACGTCAACGTTATGGTAATTTATGGAATTATCCGGCAGTTACCGAATATGATGAATTAAGTCATTATGTTGTCGGATGGAAATAAACTACCCCATAGTGTACGGAATATGGCGCCGCGTTAGTATGGAAAGTCAGTTAAGCATGAAAGGTGCAAGGGAATGCCAGCATTAGTACCATTCTGGTGACAGTCAGAGTAGAAATTATAATTCAATTATTCAATTGACTTAGTTATGTGCACTTTTTATCACATTAAACGTTTTAGTTATTGAAATCGGTAGGGGGTACAAACAAAAGGGGATGTAATACAGAGCAATAGGAGTTAAGTTTTGTTCCCTGGCATATACAACAGCAACCATTCCAGTTTCGCCTGAAAAGGATTCCGATCTGCATTCTTATGGTTGTGATTCCAGCAAACTAATCATTGAACCACACGAATTCCACAAGCCATACATGGGCATCCGAGAGTAAAAAGGATGTGGCAGACTAATAATGAGAAAAAGAAAACAGGAAAGCCGAGATAACGACCAATCGATAGCTGATAAAAGTATGCATTTACTGAAAATAAGTATATATACAGTTAAGAATTGACTATTGATTGTCAACTGAAACTGTTCGATCAAACTATTATACCGATTTTAACATATGCTTGTGAAATTTAGGAATTTGTCAAATCAAATATTAAGTGCAAAAAATGTACCCTGCTGTATATGGTATGCAGCAAACTTGGTCGTTTCTCCTTAATAATCAACATTAAAAGTAGCTTGGCCGACCAGTCCTAGCACTAGCCTCTTAACGCTGAGCGCAAAGCGAGGCATCTGCTGGAAACATTATTATAAGACTTTGCTATGAGACGGCCTGGGCTCGAACCATATACCTCTCGCATCCGAGGCAGATGCCCTAACCACTTAGGCTACCCAGAGTGGTCAAAAATATATTTAAAAAATTTAATGAAGTTTAGAACTGCAAATCATGTTTCCCAGTCAAATTAGTTGGTGGGTTAATGTTCCTTATACCGAAAGAATTTGAACACTTCTTTGTCACTCTCAATACAAAGGTGATGAATATTACTATATTATGCCATGTTCTTATTTTCACGACGGAAGACGGCAACTTATAATTTATACCTCAATGTTAAACTTCCAGGACTAACATTTGCAGATATAATCAATTAATGAATACAGATAACGTATATTAACAAATATTTGAAGATCTTTAAATCGTCGTTTTCCAAATATTGTAAAATAGTTAAGAATTGTGTATATATTCAATTATAGATAAATATTTTTTTATCTAATTTTCTGTAAATCTCGACATTTTTATAAAATTCACTCCAAAGTCCATTTCGTTCTAGAACAACCATGTAAGCCATTACTTTTATATATAACTTGGTCGCGTATTACCTTTTCCCCTAATTGCTTTTGTATTTATCCTAATTGCAATGGCGCAACCCTAATTGGACAAGGTTGTCTTCGTGTTCCCATAATCGCTGCAGCGGTTACGGCGGCTCTTTTACTTGTTCCATTATGTTAGTATTGCTTTTCAATATCTTTGCCATATTCCACAATTTCCTTTGGTGGCATATTCAGCTGTGCAAATATTTGTTACAGCCCACTGTGAGATCTTCTCGAGCCATCGATGAATGCACGTTTGAAGAGATAAGGATTTCTGATCAGTTTTATCAGAAACTTGATTTCTAAAACTTGTGCCGGTTTGATATTTGAAACTGCTCGGATGAGACTGAAATGGCTTTTATAAATAAACATACTGAGTGGAAGACTTACTGACAAAAGAAACTTTGTGAGTCAAGGAATAATCAACTTTCGTGCAGTCTCTTCCAAAGTTTCCTCTTTTGTCTACCAAGATAGGTTTTTATACTATTATGATTGGAATTCTTGAACTCTTCAACTAATATGAGTTGTCTAAAGTGATTATAATTTTTATCAACCCGTTTAAGAAGAACGCAAGTTATCAAATTGTTGTGCCTTCTTCCATGCAAATTCTACATGGGTTTGATCAGTTGATTTTCTACAATTCCTATACCCTTGTCGATATGTCTCTGGTACCAGCTCATAATCCTTCAAGATATATTCCCTAATTACATCATATTCAGCACTGTTGTACTGACAGTGAAATATAAATATCAGGAGCTAAGCCAGTATATTAGTAATAATAAAGACGTGTTCTTCTGACAATCTCAAGTTTTTTGCAATTTTCTCAAAATGAAGAAACTATGGATCTACTTCTTTTTCTTGAAAAGGGCTACAAACTCACAAATTTTGGAGGCATCGAAACCTGAATTTGAGTAAAGTGGGGGAGTGTTTTTAACTTTCCAGCTCTAATTCTTTTAATCTAACTTGACATTCATTTCTTACTTATCTCTTTGATTTGCATTAGCCATATCTCTCTCTTTCTCTCTCTCTCTCTCTCTCTCTCTCTCTCTCTCTCTCTCTCTCTCTCTCTCTCTCTCTCTCTCTCTCTCTCTCTCTCTCTCTCTCTCTCTCTCTCTCTCTCTCTCTCTCTCTCTCTCTCTCTCCATTTTCATTTGTTACTCCTCTTTCTGCTACTGCAGCTTGAGGGGTTAACCGATATTTAGGCAACTAGTTTTCACTTTATACCACGTCGAATATATTATCGATTGAACCTGCTTTTTTACTTCTTTTAGATTGCTAACTACTTTTACTATTTCTTTAGCTGTAATTGGGGCGTTCAAAGAAGATTAACAACATCCGCCGCTTGAACCGTTTCTGGGATTAATCGATCGTCATTATCAATATTTATTGTTTACTTTTTTAAATATTCGAAACATTCTTGAATTGCAATATTCTGAGCCAGGTTTTTGGCCGACATTATTTACCATATGGAAGGATTTTTTAAAACTAGTGTACTGTTTTGCAACGGTGTTCTTATTGTATCTACTCTCAGTTATCATATTAGTATATATTATTTAATGAATTGTATTGTCTTTTTTAATATAAATTTTTGTAGATGAACATTCTCAATTCACAAATTAGACACGAAACCAGTGGACGATAACATAACAGTATTTTAAAGTTTTGATTTAGTTTCCCATAATGAGCAAAGAACTATAATACAAGTCAATATTAGCGTTATATCCTGGTTAATCAGATCTCTGTAGCTGTAACAATTAATGTTTATATTTTCTTTACATGCACCGTGGGCATGTGGGCAATTGTTATTTTTATCTCTTCTGGCAATTTTTGTTTTGTTTTCATCTTCTGGCAATATCTTTGATTATATTCCACGTGATTAATGAAAAACTAAGTTTCATCTTTCTAAACCACATTTCACATTTCAACTGACTGCTAACTAATCTGAAACAATGTTCCATATGAATTGTTACAAAATCACTCAGTAATAAAACTGTCTACCTCTATAGTTTTTTTTTTCATAATGAAGCTCAAACTTTTTAAACTATCTTGTGGTTTAATTTCAATTCCATTACTTTTATTTCAGAGCCAGGCAATGTCAAACCCAAAACAGTTTTATCCAAATTCTATTCTACCAAAAATTAGACCAAAGTATTTTTATTCTTTGCTTTGTTAAAGAAAAGCATTTACCTCAGCAAAATCATATTGTCTAGCAAGAAATTTCATACCAAAGCTCAAATACTCACCGCTTGTATATTGAAATTTTATGGACTCAAAGGATTTACACTTAATACATATTGACTCCATTGTTTTTTATGTAGAAATCTCTTTCCCAGAAACTTATAAGATTGTGTTAGTTGCCTAATACCAAAAACATTTCTCTAATTGATTTACCTTTTGTGATCTTAACAACTGCTTTAATATTTGCATGACATTTTATTGTCTTTATCATCATCATCAATTGTTTCAGTACCTGTTCTTGATGTTAGTGATTTTATTTATTCTTGCACAATATTAAATAATAACTTGGGGGTACCTTTTAAAAAAGATAGGCCTAATTTACAGCATTCCTGTTACAAGAGAGTTCTAAGCTAATTTAAATATTTTGAATTTGTATTTAAAACCTTTTTAACATCTTTTGGACCTCCCTGATAAATATGTGTGATGCATTCAAATGAAACAGTGATTTAACCTTTTCTCAAATGTTTCCTACACTCTCTTTGGCAGAATAATTCTTTTGTTTCTGAATTGTTTGGGCCTTGATCATCTGACTTCACTGGTTTCATGGAGAAGTTTACCATACCTGGATTGGTAAAACTAGACATTCTCTCATAAATGTTTCACAGCAGCTTCCCTAACATTAAGTACGTCAGTTGAGCAGTTATCTAAACTGTCTTTTTATCCCTCAAACAAAAACTTAAGTTTATCTTCAATATATTCAAGAACTGTAATCAGAGACAAGCCTATTAGTTATGATTGAAAGAGTTCTCTTTCTTTTACCTTTGAAATTAATGCCTTTCATTTCAGATAAATTTAGTCTATTTAAAATTTCTTGCTTTTTCAACATTCCCATTCACAGAAAATAATAAAAAATTATATCAAACTGTAACATAAAATTAAACACTTCAAGGCACTTGGGTTCTAAATTACTATCTCTGCAATTCACATGGGTATTAAATTAATAAATTACCATCTATACTTGCTTATAAGTTCAGTCCAACTGCAAAAATATATGAACAATCCTGATCTGCTGTAGCATGTGTCTATAGTTTATTCTACTGATTACTCCTAATGTGTCTATATTGTTTATTCTACTGATTACTTTTAATGTGTCTATATTGTTTATTTTACTGATTACTCCTAATGTGTCTATATTGTTTATTCTACTGATTACTTTTAATGTGTCTATATTGTTTATTCTACTGATTACTTTTAATGTGTCTATATTGTTTATTCTACTGATTACTCCTAATGTGTCTATATTGTTTATTCTACTGATTACTCCTACTGTGTCTATATTGTTTATTCTACTGATTACTTTTAATGTGTCTATATTGTTTATTCTACTGATTACTCCTAATGTGTCTATATTGTTTATTCTACTGATTACTCTTAATGTGTCTATATTGTTTATTCTACTGATTACTCCTAATGTGTCTATATTGTTTATTTTACTGATTACTGATGCAACAACAGATCTGGGTCTGTGCAGTGTGCAATTAGACTCATCTTATAAGAGAGTATATATGCAATTAGTATTTCTAGAGTTTGGTTTATTGACACAGCATTGTCTTAAGAGAACTATTAGCTTAAAATCAAAGGACTGATGAAAGGAAAACAATAATAAGATTGTGAACAATATTCACATCTTTATTGAGATTAGGCCATTTAACAATATTTGCATACTTCTTAAATCATTCAAAACATTGAAAAGCTGCTGTCACTGTATTCACAAGTAATCGATGGCTTCTTCAGAAAGTTGATATAAACAAAACAGAAACTTGGTAAATATACATCTCAAGTAACCTTTATTAAATTCGGATTGTATGACTTACCTGAGAAAAAATATTTCTTCTTAATAAATGTTGGCACCATACCTACCAAGTTTTCTTGATACAAAATGTACAAGAATGATAATTATCAGAAAATATGAATTTGTATTTAAAATATATGTATTGTAATTGCAGTATCACTGGCTCATGTATGGCCCTATGTTATTTGCATGAACTTCCTAGAATATATGCAACCAAATATTTATATTAAATTGCATAAAACCTACACAAAACATTTGAACACATTATTTACACTCACTTATAAGTCAAGTCAACTATAAACAATGCAGACCCTGATCTGCATTCACATCATGTGCAGGCAAATCAGAATCTTTGTTGTTTGTTCTACTGATTATTCCTAAACAAAGTGTACAGACCCAGACTTGCCATTATGTAATGGCAGATCTGGGTCTATGCAATCTGCAGTTGGACTTGACTTAAAAAGCAAGTAGAAACAGTAGTAATTAATTACCAAA